AAAAAAAACTTTATTGGGTGAAAAACCATGAAAACCTGGGCGAGTCCATTGTTATAGATGGAGAGTGGTCATAATGTAATGGCTCTTTGGTGTATGTATATATATATATATATATATTTAATGTATTTCTTACCATTTACTTAGTGCCAACATCATCTGGTAAGTTAGTAACGTACAATATTTATGCGTAAACAAATTTTAACCTTTTATTATGAGATTGTGAAAATTATGATTAATCCCTTTTTATGAAAAATAAGAATTTAATTTAATTTAATATTTCGACAATTCTTTCTTTAAAATTAGAGAAAAAAAATTAAAACGTTTTAAATTTAAAACTGATTTGTTTAAACAGACAAAATGTGTTTTTTAATGAAATTGAGGAAATTCATTAAATAAATTCTTTTTCATTGTATATTAGACAAACACTGGTTAATAAATTCCTGAACTTTTGTGGTTTTCGACTATATGCTAAATAGCGACTATTAATACAAAACTTGTTTAATAATTGGGAATACCATTTCCATCCTTACAGCCTTTTTGAAACTAAAAAATATGGTTTCAAAAATGGTCTAAGAGTTTTTTTTAAAGGTTAAAAGAAATATTTATGGTATCAAAACTTTCATTTACATAAAAATAAAACAATGAGAAGAAAAGAATATGACAAAAGAGAAAAAAAACAATGTTTGTTAAATGAGGTAGGTAATTGTTCGAACACGAACCTACTTTAACGATAAACTAGTTTTTCTTAAACTGACCATGACGAATTTTCAGAGTGTATTTCAGGCTGTTATGTGTTTCAAGGTATTGTTATTTATTTCTCAGGATAAGCTGCTTTAAATTTTTGAGAAAGTCTTTTTCCTATAGAGGATTTTCTTAAGGTGAAAAATTCTCTTGTTAAAACATAGTTATGCTATGCTTCAGTGCTATGGATTCTACTTTAATAAAATACTCCTGTTGGTTTCGAAGCAAAAAAAGCGATATATATCTACAGTTATTTACGAAATTTACAGAGTTTGAATAATTTTATTTCCACAAATTTGTCTTGCATAGATTCTTTGCTGTTTTATTTCACATTTTAAACAGAAACCTTAGGATTTCGAATCTTTGTAATTTTACATGCGGCCTCAGATAAATGACTTCCAGTATATCCTAATATATATTTTATTGAAAAACTTTGCAAAGTATAGTTTATTGTTGCATCGGTTTCTTACAGTTGCAAGTTATTAACAGACAACATATGCTTTCTTGCAGTAATTTATGAAGAAATATCTGAAGTAATATCTGGAGGTAGGTTTCATTAAACAATGGTTTTAATTTAATATAAGGACTGATAGTCTAGATATATCATAAAATTATTACTTTCAAATGCACATATTATTTCTTTTGGGAATCTACTGCATTTTAATCAAAAATCTTTAATATGTATTAAAAATAAATTATCTTATTTTATAAATATTCATACAGAAAATGATACTTAAATGAAATGCAGAAAATGAAATGCAGAATGCAGAATGCAGAAAATGAATGATGAAATGCAGAATGCAGAAAATGAATGAAATGATACTGAAATGACGACAAAAAAATACTATAGTCCTGAAGTTTGAAATTGGAAAGCTTTAGACTTGATTTTGAAAAAATATTTTATTCTTATTAGAATATTATAAAATTATTTTTTGATTCATATATATATAATGCATTTCTTACCATTTACTTAGTTCCAACATCTTCACGTAAGTTAGTTACATACAATATATCTGCATAAATTAATTTGACTATCTTTTAATTACGAAATTGTGAATGTTTTGTTAAATTCCCTTGCTCAAAAAATAAAAATCTGACTTAAAGTAATTTTTCAACAACTACTTTTTTAAAATTAACCGAAAAATAGTTTAAGTTCATAACTTATTTGAATATACATTTAATTGATATTTTTTCAAAAAATTTAGCTTTGAAAATGTATTTTCTGAATATATTAAGTACACACTGGACATTGAATTTAAGTCTGTGAGATTTTCTACGTCTCAATATAAGCTCAATTTCATTCATCTATGCAAAACCTGTTTGTGACTTGGGTGAACCGTTATTTTTTATTTCCTTTTTAAGACTAAAAAATGAAGTTGTATTAGTGCTTTTAAAATTTTTGTTACAATGTTAAAGGAATTTTTCCTTACGTCACACGTCAGTTTTTGTTAAAAGACTGAGAAACAAAAAACAGTGTGTGTTAACAAAGTGTTTTTTTTTCTAACGCATAAAAATTAGATTTTAATAAACAGACTGGGAATTTCACTCTTTCGAATGTTTCTCTGCATTGTTACTTATTTCTTGAACAAAAAGTGCATAAATGTTTCGTTCCGACGATTTTCAAAAAATGAAAATCATATCACATACATGTCAGAAGTTTTAGTGGTTTGAATTCTGCTCTAATTAAAAGCTTTCGGCTGTTTCAGAGGCGAAAAAGTCAATAGCTAGCGAAATGTATGAAATTTAAATAAATTGAATAATTTTTTTTCCTTAAATGTCTTTGTAAATATTTTTTTCTGTTTTATTTTTCATGGATGATAATGCAACTACACATTTATAATCTCTTCTAAAAATTGCTTGTAATTCATTCTCATGCTCAGAACTAAAATATTTCTTACAGTGTAGTTGATTGTTGTCTTAGTTGCTCACTTATTTAAATTATTAAAGACTTATTTTCAATTGCAGAAATCTATGAAATATTATCTGGAGGTGAGTCACATGAAACAGTAGTTTTACTTGAAATATTATTATCAAGAAGTTTAAGCAATTTTAAAATTTAGGTTATAAAATACTTCTTATAGTACTTAGGTTATAAAATATTTCTTATGTTTCTCATTTTAAAATATTTTCATATAAAACTCTAAGGCGCAAAAAATTAAATGTGTGAAGAAATTATTAAAAATTTTATAAAACCTTCATATATCCTGTAATAAAAATTTAATTTAAATTTATGCGGAGCAAAACAGCAAAACTTTAATAGAAATGCGTAAAAAATATTTTATTACAATTACTTATTTTTTCTTTAAAAGCAGACCAAATCTAATTTTTATGTTGCTTGATAAGATAATGAAGTCTTTAGTATTATCTCCTCATGATAAAGAAAATATGGATAAATTTAAATGTTGAATTGTGAACGACGAGATCTTAAAAAATAAAACAAAACATTGATACAGTGTGGAAATAAAACATATAAAAGTAACAGCACTTTTTAATTTATGTTCTTATTGATTTAGTTTTTACATCCTCTGTCGGTAACGTAGGAAAATTGACACATGTAAAATAAATAATTTGTGTCAGAAAAAATAAGAAAGTCTCCGAAAAACAAAACTATTTTGATGTATGATTTAACCATGATTGAGAATATATGACGAAGTTTAAAACATAAACTTAAATGAACGAGATGTCAAAAAGAAACAAATAAAAATATAATGTAGCAAAAAATATCGAATGTTTAAAAATAACACAATTTTTAAATCCACTACTTTATACAAATTCAATTTATGATCTTATTAATTTAAACTTTTTTGTAGGACCAGGATCATTACTACCATCTGGAGGTGAGTAACTTACCCGCAAAATGCGTACTTTTAAACAAAATTACTGGATTAAGACAATTAAAAAAATGTGTCGAAAATAAATTGCTTAAATATACACTTATATCCATACACTTATATCCCAAGTTCTTATGGACATTACTATATTAACACTATTATAGACATTACTATAGAAAACATTATTATGAAAACTCAAGAAATAGTGAAATTTTACAAAAAAATTAACACATGTGTGATAATAACAAATAATGACAAAATAAAGACACGCAATAACACAATACCAATAACGAAAACATAATGGCTCATACACAAGACATATTAATGGACATTATCATCAGCATTGGCCCAACAGCCTTTTGTGAGGCTCGGCCTTCCTCAGAATCTTTTCCCTTTATGCCCTTCTCCCAGCAATTGATTTCCAGTTCTTTACATTTAGGATGGCAAAATCCTCATCCACATAGTTTGTCCAACTCCTTTTGGACCTTCCTCTTTGTCTTTTATTGGAGGGGGTTGCATTAAGGACTCTTAATACTGACATAATAAGGAGAAAAAAAAACGGAAAACTGATGTATCAAAATGGAACTTATTGAGAGTTCAATGTGGTGTGTACACACCAGGGTGGGCTGAAAAAAATTGACTTTTTTAATTTTTAAAAAGATATAGTGCAGAAAAGATATCTCATCCAAAAAAGAAAAAAATTATATAGAAAATAAATGAAATCGGCTATTATTTTTTTGTCGTACATTGAAAAAATTGAATATTTTTCTTAAATTTTCATTTACCGTTTCAAACTGCGCAATTGACATGCTATTAATCCTTATGGTGATTTTTAAGGCTTAAAAAAAGTGTAATAAGTTAAAATTACATTATAATTTCTAACCATATGTATATGTTTGAAAAGCGCAAAACGACCAATTTTTTTTCAAGTTGTTTGTTCAATAACTTAAAGGCTCATCATCTGCCTTATTATAAATAAAAGAGGATAACTATTGTCGAATGTTTTGAATGTCCTAAAATTGGGGCCCCAAGATAATTTTCTTCAGATCAAATTATTGAAACTGGAATGTTTTTTTTTCTACTTTATTTCCAAAAATAATTCAAAATTCTCAATTGAAACAGATAGCAATGATGTCAATTTATATAGAAAAGGCAGAACACAAGAGGAAAATATATAATGGTTGCACATAAAAACATCTATATCTGCTGTAACTAGCTACAGAATTATTCATATAATAATTATTTATCAAATTTCCTAGAAATTCATGCAATTGTGATGAAGACAAAGAATTATTCAAGCAGTTGCCAGAAGTGTTTAAAAGCAGATATTTGTTTCATTCTTCAGGCTTCCGTCACCTGTTTCGCATTTTTCTCTTACTTTGAAAGCATTTGATGCACACATACTTTCTTTAAATTAATAAATAATATTAATATCGATATTAATAATCTATACAATAATATACTATCATTTTAAATATCGATATCATTCTTGTATGTTTCGAGTACCGTAGAGAGAGGATACAATAAGAAATTGCTCCAAAAGATCATTTCACTTTTATGAGCAGCATCAAGATTTAATTTAAATGCCACGAAGTATCTTATAAATATTCCTTCATTATTTTGGCTTAAAAATTTTCGCACTTCCATGCTTTCGAATGCATAAGCTATCACTCGCACGTACCAAATTTTTCCACCTGATCAAAAAACTCATTCCTGCACTGCAATAGATTACGAATCAAATTATAGTAAAAAGTTCAGTCACTCAGGGTTCCGGTACATTTTACAGTAAAATCGACTTTTACAGGAACATATTTAAGAAACAAAAAACCTGCTGCACTGTAATTTTTACAATAATAATTACCTTCAAATCACTGATTCCTTCGAATTAAAAAAAAATTGATTTCAAAACATAGGTTTAAATGGATTTTACGAACGATGTAGCAAAAAGGAGATTCTTTGAACCGTAATTTGAAGAAGACATTTTTAAATTGTTTAATAAAAACAAATAGTAATTAATAAATAAAACATCAAAAGAAGCGATATGTCCATTATATGAAAATGATGTCAATTTCTATAATGTTGAAACACGCATACATGAATCATTTCAAGATAAATGTTACTGTTTCTTTATTAAAAAGAAAAATTAAATTAACATTATTTACAGTTTTATAGCATTCAGTGGGACATTTAAGGAGCTTAAAATATGTCGATGATTATTTCTGGGGTTAATTTAGTATTTTTAGTTCCTATTCCGCACCTGCGTGAGATGAAATTCTTCCTTCCAGTTTTATCATTCTTCTTTTTGAGCAGAAAATATGATATTTACTCCCTACAATAACACATTATTTATTGAAATATACCTTTTATTTATTGAATCTTAAAAACTTAAATAATTGCAAAAAAGGACATTTAGCTTTTAATTTATTTAAATCGATTACCAGTCTTCAGTGATAGATATAGCATAACTATTTGTACTCAGCTGGTAGCGAAAACTCTCAGAAATAAAACTTTCACTTTTGACGATTTAACAAACCTTCAGTTGTATTTCGTTAATTTTAACAATCCTTTCATCACGAAATCACGTGGTTTCTGTTGGGAAGTGAACGAAAATGACGAAAATGTTTCCTCAACTTGAAACCACATCGGGTTGTATAGTGGGAGATTGTTTACTAGAATGACGAAACTAGAAAGAGGACAAGAAGATTTAATAAAAATTGACGAAATGAGCTGAAAGGCCTGTAAGGTGGTCAATGAGTTCGTCCTTCGTAACACATAACGGGTTCAAATTCCGCTTCGGGTATAGATATATTTTATTACCCTGCTCTATCTGTTATTGTGTAATTGTTCTACCTATGAGGTACTCAGGATAAAATTATTATTAAAAATGTTAAATACATTAGGCTATACGAGGTTTTTTTAAGTTTTCGAAGAAAATAGAATGACAAAATAATTCTCTAATTATTACGAAATTCGTTTCCTAGAGGGAGTGACAATATTTATTTTGTCACTGTAGCAAAAGCTTCGCGATATTTAAGTATTCAGTTCTTACAGTGATTCTTACAGTATGAGTTTTTAATATTATCCATCTCATTGTGTCAATGACGCAATAAATGGGTGAAGATTAAAATTTTTTAATCATGAAAAATGAGTATCTATAAATTTTCAGTTTACCGGAAAATAGATGAAATTTAACATTTTTTTACATAACATGTTTTCATTTTTAATATGCACTTGTTATTTTTTATTTAGTTTCAATATCATCAGGTGAGTTTGCTACGTAAAATTGTATCTTATAAACAAATGCTAATTTTTATGAAATTGTGAAAACAATCTTGAATTTCCTTTATCAAAAAAGTGAAATGCAATTTAAAGTTATTATTTAATAATTATTATTTTTTTACAAAATTAATAAAGAGCAACATGGGAAATAAATTTAAACTAATTTAAAATTTTCGTCGTCGCAATGCAGTTTCTTTGTCCCATCCTCTGCGCTTCAAGTTCCCCCGCAACACTAAAATTTAAATTTAAATAAATTTTATTAAAAGTTGTTTATTTCGCCTAAAAAATAATAATCGATTGTAATCAATAACCATATTCATTAAAACAAAAATAGAGCACAGATACAGTATTCCCGTAAGAGGAGTTATCTCGTTCGTAGCTTCGTATAGTTCGTAGCTCATTCGTAGTGTATACTTACATTCTGTGTTTTCAAAAGAAATTTAAAGTTGGAACAGCTTTTGTTCGTAATATATAACACATGATGTTTTTAAAAAAAATTATCATAATATGTCTCTTTATAATGCAAATTATGTATGTAGAAATTCAAGGAGAAAAACAATATTATAAAACTACGTAATTTTTCGTGCGTGTTCAATTACATAACTAAAAATTTATCGTTAACTGATTTGCAGAAAATGTTGTCTTTCAATGTACTTTTCCATCTCTCAAATATTGTTATATTTTGTTACTAATTCCATAAGTAAATAGCTGCTTGGAAGTAGCTTGGTAAAGTCTTCACCTCACTACGACGTTGATTGAAGATTTACTTCTCACACTCAGTCCCAGATAGGAGTCAAATGTTTTAAAAATTTGGAGTTTTCTGTAATGTAATATCACCGCTTATTTCAGAACCTTGTAAATTTATTCAGATTTAAATTACTTTACATTTTTAGAGATTCTTCAGTGATCATTTTTCTAAAATATGTTCTGTTTTACATTCTTTTTAAATTTATATGGGGCTACGAATAAGTCATTTTCATTATAATCTGATGTATTTCATTGAAATCTTTGTATCATTGTAGTTTATTGTTCTTTCAGTTGTTTATTGTTTTAAATTAATAAAGGCACATTTTAAATTGCAGAAATCTATGAAGTATTATCTGGAAGTAAGTCGCATGAAACAATAATTTTGCTTGAAATATTAGGAGTTCAGCAGTTTTAAAAAATAATAAAATGAATGTTTCGAAATAGACACAATGCAAAAATCTTCGGATCAAATTCCGGCAAAAAGTACCGACACTTTAGTTAGGTGGTATGTCATAAAATCTGTTTTTAACCGAGTGTGTGACCATACAAAATATCTAATATACCATAATTTTTACAGTAATAAGTATAGTAAAATCACTTAACCACTCTAATTAAGAGTATATTTTTGTAACAATTATGGCATAACATTTTACAATAAAAATGGATTTTATGGATGATGCACCCAAAATACCAGGACTTTATAATAGAGCAATTTGTTCCAGAATTTTTTCACTGTGCATATCACAATTTAGATGGCTTTGTAATTCATTTAATAGGCTATAAAATACTTATTTGTCGTACAAAATATGTTTTCATATAAAAATTAAGTATAAAATTAACATTAAATGTTCAAAAAAAGTACTTATAAAATTATATTTTTTCTAAGAAATAATACGATTTTCTTCAAACGATCTATTTTTCTTAAGCTCAATTGAACAAAATATAAAATTTATCTTTACCAAATGAAAATATTCTGAATAAAAAATTTTTATGAAATAAGTTTGTATATTGATGTATAAGTATATTAAATTTTTAAATGCACTGANATTTATGTTATTAATTTTAATCTATCTTTATTATTTTATGGGTTATTAAACATCAAAATGGGTCCGGGACTTTATAAACACCATATATATATATATATATATATATGCATCATGACTTTTTTGGTAGAGATTATGGGTGGAGATTATTTTCTGGGTTATACAACTTCATTTGGTAGTTTTTCCGTTTATTGTAACGATGTGCCGGAAATTCAAGATTTCAAAAATATAGTTTTTATTACCACACATTTAGTAAAAAATACAACACTAAAAAGTAACTTCGAGTGAATAAATATTTTTTATGTAATTCTTTAAACTATCATGATAAAATAACAAAATTCTTCTGTTAACACATATTACATAACTTCATTTTAATATTAATATTACCAAACTTATTACCAAAAATCTTTGAAAACATTATTAAACATATTGGTGTTGCCATAGAGCCAAAAACACGGTAAATTTTATATATTCTGGGAGTATTAGTCATATTTTTTTTTCAGGGAAGGTTTCATAAATGAAAAAAAAATTAAATAAATATCGAAACATTTCCAATTGAATTAATTTAATATACAATTTGTGGCTCGTTTTTATGCGAATACTTAAATGCAATTGGCGTGATATTTTTATTAAATGGTAAAAGGGCTAATATAGGACTTGATTTGAGTACGAGTTCAGAGCCTAATATATAGCTTTGAACTAAATGCGTATTCATATTTTCTATATGCTTTAAAAAATACTTGAAAAAAATCTTGAAAAATGAAACTTGAATAAATACTTTCAACAAGAAGCATGGGTGCTGAAGCAGTTTGCAAAATAATACAGATAAAAATTGTATCATTCTTTATTAACAATTTCCTTGCGAAATTTTGATTTAAGTATTTGAAATTCATTTTGCAAAAAAAAATTAACGAAATTATGAGAAAAACTCTAAATATACAAGTCATAAAATCTTAAAAAAGCTAATAATCTTTGCAGTTGTTCAGAAAATATATACTTATAAAACAGATTTTCATTTCATGTTTAAACAAAAGAATACGATGAAATCTACAACAGTTTTCTAAAAAGTGTTATGAGTCGTCACAGAATATATATAAGCTTTAGACTAGTTTTCAAACAAAATATTCTAGTGTTACAAAAATTAATAATTTACAAATTTTCTAAAATATTTTGATTTGTTTCATTTTAATAAATGTTGTTACATATCAGTAAAATTAAAAGATTGATGATAAGTATGACTTTTTTTAAACTAAAGAAGAAAATAGTTAAACTACCTATCAGTAGAGTTTAAATTTCATTATTTTGCCAGATGTATGATTCTTACTATTTAGTGAGAAAAGTAGAATAAATTTTTAATACAATTACCATTACTTACTTAGGTCCATCATCTTCAGGTGAGTTAGTTACTATAAAATACATTTTTAAGATTTAATTTGACAGTTTTTAAGCAATTGTGGAAATAATGCCAAATTTAATTGCTCAGGAAAAAAAAATATTTTCTTTTTCAATAATAATTGTTTTATCATTAACATAGAAGAAATTGGGTTAAATAATTTGAAGCGAAATACAGTTGAATATATTTTCATATGAAATTTGCGTTTCATTTTCATGATATTTATGTTTTCACATGAAATTTAAAGTTAGAATAGTTTTTTTCTGACATATTTTACGAAAGCAAAATACCCGTTCTTTTTACGAGGTGAAAAAATCAATAAATGAGAGCTGAAAACTGCTACTAAATCATGCACAAAACTAAAAGTTATAAACCGATACTATCAATAGAACTAAAAATATTCCTTTTTTCATTTATTAATATTTTTTCCCTTCCCATTGGTCTTCCTTCATTAAAATATGCACAAAAAAAATTAGTGACACATCCCGTCAGTACAAATAAAAAAATGCAAAAACATTAATTGCATTCAGTATCATTCAGCATGATGTTCTTGTTTGAGATCAACTTATGACAGAAAACTTTAGACAGCCGAGCAATTTTCTCCACTAGTTATCCATTTCAAGAAGGCGTAAAAAATCTCTTTCCACAGTACCTTTATTAAAACTGCAAAGTGTTTATTGGTGCTAAGTATACTAATTGTGCCCTAATGAAAACAGGGAAAAGGAAATTTTTTTTCTGAAAAAAGCGAAAAAAATAAATAAAGCCTGACTTGGTAACATATATTTTTTAAACTTTCCGTTTTTAATTCATTGTACTTTTACGCGAAGCACCTACAAATGATTTCAGGGACATTCTCGTGTATATTGTGTAAGAAAATATATAGTTGGTTATTATTTGAATTATTTATGGTTATATATTAACGAAGGCTCATTTCGAATTTCAGAAATCTATGAACTATTATCTGGTAAGTCGAATGAAACAACAGTTTTATTTTAAATATTGAAATAACTTAAGAAATGAACATTATAACATGAGAATTATAAAATTAAAAATGCATAATTATTATAAATTTACGCAAATATTTCTTTTCTTATGCATAAATAAAATTTGTGATAAAATATACACTGGTGTGCAAAACTTAAGCAACAAGTGCGTTTTTTGGCATAACTCTACAAGAAATCATCCGATTGACATGAAATTTGAATATGATGTACATTATGTTGTACTTAAACGATGGTAAAAGAATAATGGCGCAGATATGAATATAAAGCTTAAAGTAGGGTATGGAACAAAAAAAGGCTTTATTTGACATATAGTGGCGTTACACATGATTGCCTAAAGAAGCGTAAGTACAACTGGCAGATGTTCCCTAGTATGGGATATGCCCTCCCCTTACTGTAATTGTTGCTTGGCATCGTCTCTCCATGCTAAGCACCAGATTATCCAGGAGTTCTTGGGGTAAATGTCTCCATTCCCCCTTTAACGCATCTTTCAGCTGATGGGTGTTACCAGGAGGATACTGTCGTGTCGCAAGACTTCTCCCTAATACATCCCACACATGCTCTATGGGATTTAAATCTTTAGAGTAAGCTGGCCAATCCATTCATGTTATATCTTCACTTTCCAATATCTTTTGAACATTAGCAGTACGGTGTGGCCGGGCATTGTCATCCATAAAACTGAAGTCTGGTCCAATGGCCCCTCTGAATATGGGGCAGTGGGTAGGATTACCTCATTGCAGTAGCGGTCTCCAGTTACAGAACCTCGGTCGAAGATCTGAAGCTCAGCCCGCCCATTCAACATAATGCCACCCCAGACTACAACTCCAGGACCACCGTAACGATCTCTTTCCGAGATGTTATTGGGATGAAATCGAGCTCCAACCTCTCTCCAGATCAACTGACGTTGAGAATCGCTTGTAGCACTAAAACGACTCTCACCTGTGAAGAGGACGCGACTCCATTGATGAGGTGTCCAGGTTTCGTGTTCTCTGCACCACTCTAAACGGTGCCGCCGATGGCTAACTTTTAAAGGTATGCAGCGTTTTGGACGTCTAGCAAATAAGCAACCTTTGTGGAGGCGTTTGGCCACTGTAAATCTTGATACTAGTCGTCCAGTGGCTGTGCACAATTGCTGAGATATGGCGCTCGCTGACTGAAAACGGTTTCTTTTCGCCTGGAGGACAATGTAACGGTCATCTCTTGGTGTTGTTTTCCTTGGACGGCCACCACCAACCTTCCGAAGAGCTTTACCAGTAGTTTTAAAAGCATTCCAAGCACGAGAAACAACACTTTTGTTGATCCCGAACTTTTCCGCGACACTGATCACACTACGCCCTTCCACAAGCTTCCCAATCATTCTTCTTCGAGTAAATTCGTCTAAATGATTTCTTGAAGACATGTTTCACAAAACAAATCACTAGCGCTTGCAGCGAATGTCTTTAACTACGGTGCTCTTCATCCTTTTATCACAGCTTTGACCTGCGCGCGCCGACCCACAAGGTTTAGGTACACTTACATCACCTACGACGTTTTATTTCTAAAGTTTGCATACAAATAATCTTTCTACTGAATTACGTGCATATTATACTGCAATTTCATGGCTATCTTATACTTTGTTGGGGAGCTGTGGCCGAAAAACCACTTGTTGCTCAAGTTTTGCACACCAGTGTATTATTATTTCTCAAAATTGGAAGATAATGTTTTAAAAAAGTAATTTTAATATTTTATTATCGAACAAGTATGGCTTTCTTCTTAAAAAATTGAGAAAATTCCTTTTTCACGAAACTGAAACTGAATATTTAGACATATGTTCTTTTTATTTTTCTTTTCGAATTTCAAAATGAATATTTTTTTCTTAATTTGGCAATGAGAGGCTGAAACTAACTGGGCAAAAAATGGACAGAAATAAAACGTTAAAAGCTATCAGTTTAACATACAGTTCTATTTGTTTGTTTATATTATGCTTATAAATTTACTTAGGTTGATTAATAACTAGCTTAACACCCGTTCTTCGTACGGGGGGGAAAGTTCATAAATAAAGTGCATATTATCGACAAATTATAATATTTATTATTTTATTATATTTTTTTCTGCACTTTTCAGAGGTTTTACGTTATTAGATTGAGCAAAACACTTACATATTATAAATATTATTATATTTATATATCAATATTATATAGTTAGATTTCGATTCCTGTTAGTCAAAACTTAGTATGATCGAGCTACTTTCTCCAGTACTTATCTTTGTTGGGGGACCATAGATGCATTAAATATCTGTATTAGTGCTTTTTGTACTGAGAAAAACAGTACCATTGATAATCATGCATTACCAAAACTACCAAAGAATAATTTTTAAAATTTTATAGAAACTTACATCTTTTTAAAAGTTTGTTTAAATTTTTCATACAAGTGTTTTTATTTTATATTAATTAAAAATTTAAATCCAAAATAAGTAATAATTTAATTTTCTTAAAAATGTTCAGGATAAAAATTTTAGGTAAGCTGGAAAGGCCCAAAATTTTTAAGAAATGAAGCGAGCAGACATTTTATTATTGGGCAACAAAATTACATTTATGCATGACTATAATAGCAATTTGGTGTGGTTGGTGTAGATGACATAATTGAAGTAAATAGCATTATAATGAAACTGATAGTTGATGATGAAAGCTAAATCATAATAACAATAAAACTTTTATTCAATAGTAGTTGTCGAGCTCAAGATATAAAATTAAAGAAATATTTTATCCAAATGACTTTCAGAGTGAAATAATAAATTTTTGCATAACAATATCAATAAGGAGAGATCATGTCAGATAAATCTCCCTTGATCTACCTAGTTAAGATTCATATTAACTGTAATGTACTTAATAACTGCTATGTAGAACAGGAGAGATTCATTATAAGCGGATTATCGAAAAATGACACTACCGAAAGAAAAGCCAATTTATCCAGCCACGTGATATCGCATGTTAATATTGAATTGGTTATATCTTAATCACCAAAAAAGACTGTGGAAAATTTATATAACCCTGTAACTTAAACATTTTAGTGTTAAGAGAAATAAAGCAGCTTAAAGAATAAAGAGTAAAAATATATTTTGATGTTCGATTTAGCTATACATTTGTATTGAATTAAGAAACAAGACATTGCATTAATTGTTAGGAAAAGAATAAAATATTTATATTTACTTTTTATAAAATGTAACAAAAATTAAATAGTTTGTTTACTTTAATATTAAAGTTGGATTAAGAATGATTAAAAAAATAAATTAATAAAATTGAAGAAATTTTGAAAGGAAGGAATATGTAATTCCTATAATTACATCACAATGACAGGACAAGCAAGAGAAATTAAATAAAAACATGTTTTGCATATGCATCATCTATCGGACATGCACAGTGTTTGGCCTAATCTAGAAATGTATAGGCATCTAACTTCATCGACATTTGAAAGTGGATGGGTGAAGACATTGATGTTTATGTTTAAAAATCAACAAAAAATGTTTTATACATTTCTTTGTACTTTCGATGTATCTGCTTATTTAAAGATATTTAAAACTCACAAGATATTAAAAATGCTAAACAAAAGGACTGATTAATAATCGGTCAGCTCTGACTATTGTTTATTTCTGTTTCAATTTCTAAAACAGTTTGAACAACCGAATTATACTTAAAATTGGTGTGACAAAATTGTCTGAATAGTTGAAACCATTTAAAAGTACACCTTTTCTCATCCTAAACTAACAGCTTAGGAGCAGCGTATGGAATTTTAAGTACGTGAACTAAATCTTTGAGTGCATTTTGTTTACAAAACCTTAATAAAATATAAAAATTTCGAATAGGAATATTGAAATTTTAATTTGTGCAGATTAAATAAAAGAAATGTTAATAAAATGATGCTGAAATAATTAATTAAAATCATTGATTCATATAGCAATGATTTATTTAGAAAGTAAATCAAAATTTTAGGCCAGCACAGGTAAGGAAGTATTTAAAAAACAAAACTGTTTTGGTGTATGATTTCACCATGCTCAAGAAAGTACAGAGAACTGTAGAACTTATTTTTAAGCGACGAGAAAATATCAAAAAGTTTTTTCTAAATATAGTAAAAAAAACATTTTGAAAGTTAAAAAAAATTAAGTCCAGTGCTTTATTTGCATATAATTTATTTTCAAAATAATTTTGATATTTTTTTGAAGGACCAGGACCAGCAGTATCTCAATTATCTGAAGGTGAGTAAATTTTTCGTTAATGCATACTTTTAAGCGAAATTGTGGAATTCCTTAAATATTTACTTCACTCTGAACACATAGAAATCTACAGAAATAAGGTACACAAGTTTAAAAAAATTAAATAACATATTTTATGTTTGCTCTGGCATTTTTGAGTCTCAGACGTTTTTAAACGTCTGAAAATGTTTTAAAGTGAAATTTAAATTGTGAACTCAACAACCTTCTCCCAGACCGTTTCATAGATAAAACGGGAAAATGTGCGTCTCTTTGACTATTGATTCTATCCAAACCTTTTAATAAAAATTAATGTTTAGCTACGTCATTTAATAGAAAATCTAACTTTCTTTTTTTTTGACGTAAGTACAAAGGACAATGCACTGTTTTAATGCTAGAAGAATAACTGAAAAGATATTTAAAGATATTTCTGCAATATTTTGACTACAAAATATTTATTTCGCCCGATTACTCATCGATGAACTCTTGTTATTCGAATTTAAGTTGCCCAAAGATTGAGATTTGTTCGTGATACGGCATTTTTATGATCTGATTTGAATTGACTATTTATTGTTGTTTCAATTATTTATAGTTTGGAATTACTGAAGGCACATTTTATTTTCAGATATTTACGAATTATTATCCGGAGGTAAGTTGCGAGAAACAATAGCTTTATTCAATACAATAGTTGCGAGAAACAATAGCTATATTAAATTCACTTTAAAAAATATTAACTTAGCATTTTAAAATACAGACATCAACCCCTTGTTTACAAAATATTTACACTTTAAATAAGCTTTCAGAACGAGGATACTCTTTATTCAAAAGAAGACTCTTGATATCGAGCTATCATATTTTCTGTTCCTGTCAAATATCCGTCACAGCTGATGCTAATAAGTAGCATAAATTTTACTTTTGTGTACGAAAATTTGAAAATAAGGACTGAGAGTAAAATTAGGGACAGGTTTTGAATCAGTAAAGTTTATATAAAAAGAATTAATATTTTTTTACTATAATAAATCTATTTTTAAATAAATAAGCTCCTTGGGCCACTAGGATCTCTAATCATCTTATAATCTCATTATGTTTTTAAAATTATAGTTCTTATTAGCTCACATTTAGTAAAATATGAGAAACTGAAAAGTAAATTTAACCGAATAAATTGTTTTTATGCCATGCTTTAAGGTGTCATGAAAAAATTACCATATTTAACTATATGGACAAAATTTTATCACGCGTTATGTAAACATATTTTATGGTTACTTTTACTTAAAATATTACTATGGCGTTTCGATAAAAATTACCAATCATAAACAGGGTAAATTTTACCGTATTCTGGTAGTTTTGAACATGCTTTTTTCTCAGTGCGTAAGAAAATAAATATGTTTATTCAGAGAAAGAGCTTTTTTGTGTCTCTTTTTGTAACTCAAATTATAAATATTGTTTGTTAACGCTATCATTAGATTTAAATTTATTCTGAGTTTTAACATTTTGATTTTTGGCCCTGTACAATACATCAATAAATTAATGCTGTCAATAATTATTCCGTTTATGTATCTCATTGAAATATAAATGAATGTGTCTGTTTACGAATATTTGTTTCGTAGTGTATGGAGTGAAATTTATTTTACTGTGTAAACAACCATCGATCTCATTCTCTTTTCACATACATTAATGATTGTATAGATTGAATTTTATTGTATTTGAGGATTGTAGATGATTGCATATGCAATTGCTATCTTTATAGTTTCAATCTATAGAATCTCGTAGTGAAAAAAAGTATTGCAGTAAAAATATCAACATGCTTTCTTATTGCCTTAATCTTCACTAGCAATTGTTATTTAGTTTATTATTATTTTTAATATTATTATTTTTATTATTGCTTATAAAATGAACATAAATTCCCTTGCTATTTTCTAATAAATATTTAAATATTTGTTAGATATGGGGTTCCGCTTTTTATTCGGTAATGGGCATGAGAGTTATGTTGTAATTGAGTTGTGTTTTATCAAATAAACCACGGAATGTGGTTCAAATAGTTTATCTGGCTTTTTTACCTATAGAAAGGGACGGGAACTATTTTTTTTAAACAAAATTTAATAATTTAGTTAATGATATACTATTTTTTTCTAAATGTTTTGAAAACTATTTTATTCTAATTTCTCCATCTCGAAAAATCAGATGTTTCTAATTTTATCATGACATATTTTTATTTTCTCTTTTATTTTGTTTGATCGTCTTATTCAAACTTGTTTTTTGTTTTTTTTCATTCTTTGTATGGATATTTTTTCTTAGTGTAAATTGTACATAATTTTTTGATGGGTTTCTTCTGCATCTCTACGTTTCTTTGTTTATTTTATGTGTCTGCGGTGATTCCTCATAACATAAACAAAAATATCATCATAATAAATATTTATATACAATAAGTATTGGTGTGATTAATTAATTAAATATAACCAATTTTTTTTATTTGTTCTTGTACATATTTCTAACTGTACCCTACTTTTTGTAGGACCATCATCTGGAAGTAAGTAAATTACCTAAAACGATATATTTCAGACCAAACACTAAAACCAATACTTTTCATGACAAAATACAATTTATTTAAATAAGAAAAAACTGAAATTCAAAATGTTGAATTAGAATATAGTTGATGTGAACATTTATTATTTTGTAGAGAAAATCTGTTGCAAAATTAAATATGTAATTTTAATTACATTTTATTTTTTTAAAAATCCAGAAAGAAATGTCTTTTAAGTTACTAAAATTTTTATTTTTAATTAAATTCTTGTCTGTTTCCTGCAAAATAATAGAAAATCTGTCCTGATTTTACATTAAAACTATGAAATTTAAAAAATGTTTTTATAAGCATAGTTCTACGCATTTTAATAAGCGTTTTAAACATTTGATGGAATAAACTACAGAATATGCTCTTTATAATCGTCATTATATACAAAATTCTGGGAAATATATTAATAAAGGCATTGAAATAGTTCCTTTATGCTTAGAATCTTATAATTAATTTTATCCTAATAAATGGAGAAATTTTTAAAACAATTTGCATGAACATTGTATTTTTTGTAATACATATCTACTGCACAAATTTTATTGCAGGTAAAAGCATAAGGATGTTGCTTTAGCTGACAAAGCATAACATTACAGTTTTTTTCTTCTTTTATTTAATTAGATAAACTTGCGTCTTTTACATACACTTATTTTTAAGATTATAGATCCCAAGACTAATAAAGTTTTTTTGGAAAAATATATTATATTTCAGTAATTTATAACTATAAGAGTAAATAAATTCTATTACACAGTCTATTAAAAGTGGAACTTGTATTTCAACGAAGCACTTTCATTGCCTAAAAACAATTTTAATATTTTGTAGTGAGTACATCTAGTGGTGAATTGTACTAAATTTCTTTATTTTAAAACTTAGTACCTAAGAATATAATATAAATAATAAAAATGTTCAAACATTTTTATAATTAAGTGAAATCATGAAAACATATTTTTGTTTGCAGGCTCTTCTGTAGAAATATCTCAAGGTGAGTAATCTTAAAATCATACTTTCTATCTACTTGACGAAATATATTTTGAAACTCGGTTAACAGCTCTCACATGGAATATCAATAAAAAAAAGGAACCAAGCAGTTTTAAGTTAAGGGTAAATTGCAGTTCTATTCTAAAAACGATGAAAAAACCTTCTGAAAACAGGTGTTTTCATTAATTTGCAAAATAACTTAATTAGAAAACAAGCCACGCCAAAAAACGTTTGCTGATTATAAGACATATTTTTTTGAAGTCCTTGAGAGTTTCGAAGATATTTTTAACTATTCAATTAGTAAATATAAGGAAAAACTAGGAAATTTTTTTACTAACCAGGGGATAGTGTAACGTATCAAGCTATACGAGGGTTGCTATTTATATTTCTGGCCTAATGATGAAAAAACAAATATGTAGGATCGAAATTGGTTTTATTGTTTTTCAAAATATTCTCCATGATGATCAATACAAAACAAATGAAATAAAATAAAAATATGACCACCGAAGTCGACTTCTTCAGGGGGTACCGGCCCCGGT